TTGCAAATCCTCAACCGAGTGCGTTTCAAAGTCTGCATCTTCAGCATACAGTAAACCTCAGATCAAGCACTCAAAATACTGAACCTTCAGAGATTGAACACTCTTGCTGATGTTCTAAGTCTCAAGGAGAATCTTGCCTCAGTCTATAAGTAGACAGAAAGGTGTTGGTGTAAGTCATGTCACCTTGCTTTCCTCCATTGTCTCCTGCAACCTCATCCAAAATGTTAGCCGTTGGATATGAAACGAGCCTTCATATCAATATGTAGATGTTTCAATAAGTTCACAAGTATGAGAGTACAATAAATCTTATCAAAAATCCTCCACAGATCATAAGCTATCAAAAGTCTTAGTCAAATCCATGAAAACCTGGCGCAATAGTACACGCAGTTCAATCCGTTTTTTCTGCATTTGTTTTATCCCGAAGATCATATTCATATTTTAACCCTTACCTCGTGGTGCTTCTGGAATAATTAGGAAGCAAATGTTGCTTATTCAGCAAGACCCCCACCCCCACCGCAAACACCTTACCAAATCATTCCGTGAGGGAGATACTTTGGTACCTATCACATACAGATATAAATATTGAAACCGGAATTCCATGAATCCAGTTCTGAAGTACAGAAGTGCCTCGCCAGATCAGAGTAATCAAGTTGAAGACAGCTGAAATAATAGTCCCCACAGAAAAGTAAAAATTCCATTGGGATGCAATCAATTCCAGGTGCCTTGCCGATGTTGATTTGTTTGATAGCGAGCTTTATCTCTTGAGGAGTGGGCACGATGTCCATTATGTGACCAATTATCCAAGATTGTCATCAATAGTAGATGGCTTAAAGAACAGGTTGGTAAAATGTTCAGTACATTGTCCCAGTATGCCTTAATCATACTTATTTATATTATTATTACCCAGATTGTCTGTGTGTGTGTCTGTTCGTTTATATATTGGGTCGGATTTCCTACATTTTTCAACCGATTTCAACAAAACATCACAGGACTACGAAAAATTACTTTGCGGTGGTTCTGACAGCGCCAAAAATTGGAAAAACACAATTGTTTTTGTACGAAATCAATTTGAAAACACGATTAAGAGGCATCGCGAGAATGAAAGGGGGACAACTCATATCGAGTTATACTTATTATTATAAAACCCAGGTTGTTTTTTTTTTGTGTGTGTTCGTTTATATATGGGATCGGATTTCCTACATTTTTCAACCGATTTCAACAAAACTTCACTTTTTTTTGGCAAGTAGTGTTTCTTATTGTCTTGCACACTTTTTTCTTTATTTTTACATTCAGAATGCTTTAAAAATTCCATTTACAAAACAATTGTTTATAATAAAATTCTATTCAATTTGTAGACTCATAACGATTGAAAACAATGTTTTTGTTTGAGTTTGGGTTTGACCAAACCGTAAAAAAAAAAAAACTAATTAAGACATGCGTGTCCATCAACCTTAAACAATAATCTTTGTCAATTTTATTTTTCAGTCTATATGATGGTCGATACTTGATCTATCTCTTACTGTTACATCCCCGGGCAACGCCGGGCTCTACTGCTAGTTGCTAATAGTTGTTTGGACATTGACGGATTTCAGCGGAACAGTAGATATGTTAGGACCAAATACTTGATGTAGCAGGCTATAGAAAGTCTTTGAGTGATGCCTGTCAGAAGCACTTGGAATTTCTTTCTAGATGTGACACCATTGATTATTTTTCATTTTCCTGAGCATTTTCCTTTGTATTCTTTCAGAGCTCTTTCCATATTTTTCTGATGAACTGCTTAACAGAAGAAGATGAAGAGAATGTTTGATTTTGAGTAGATCTTTAATATTATCTTTGTTATCATCAAAACCAGTCCTTATGATGTTTCTTGACGAAACCCCACGATTTATACTGATTCAGTTGATAATCTTGTTCGTCCTGTTAGCTAAAGCTGTCCGAAATTCCAACTGTGTCAGTTTTGACACATCAAGACATTTGGGAACTTTCATTCCATTCCTCCGAAACGTTTTTTTTTTTTTTTTTTTTTTAAATACGTAGCTTGAATTTCCATAGCATCAGTTTGTGGTCTGTATCACATTCAGCACAACGTAAAACCCGAAAATTGCAAACATGACATCTCCAGTGCCTCTCCTCTTATGATAAAATCTATTAAATTGCCATGCTTTGATTTGAGATCAGTCCAGCTAACAGTCCTCATCTGTTGTCCCTGTTTTTAAGAACTCTGGAGACCCTTCTAACCTATCTAACTATCATCCTATCAGTCTTCTACGATTCTTCGACAAAGTCTTCGAGTAGTGGCTAAGCGCCTTACCTCCCATAATCTACTCTTTGATAAACAAATTGTTTTCCGCTTTTCACGGTCTACCACTAATGTGCTTATGGCCGTAACTGAATTTGTATACCAAGCTCTTGATAATAACGGCGAAGCTCGATCTGTGGCTCTAGATATCTCTAAGGCCATTGATAGGGTTTGGCATGCCGGTCTTCTACGTAAGCTTCAGGGATACAGTATTACAGGACGATTATTTGATTTAATACAATCATTCCTGTTAAACCGTGAAATGGTTGTCCTAAACAGGTTCTCTTCCAATTCCTTTCATACAAACGCTGGTGTCTCCCAAGACTCTATCCTGGGTCCTACACTGTTTCTGATCTTCATCAATGATCTCCCTGATGTCATCAGTTTTCAAGTAGGCATCTATGCAGACAACATTGCCATTTTCTCCTATCTCAATAGTAAATCCGGCATTGCCGTCAAGGTTAACCTGGACGTTTGTCTCAAAAATGACCTTCAATCTGTAGTTGACTGAGGTAGGAAATAGCTTGTAATTTTAATGCCTCCAAAACGAAATTCCTTTAATTTACCCACCATAGATAAACCTCCTTGCCTCCTATCAGCATGTCTGATGCTCAGCTTCATGAGAGTGTCTTTCTGCGCATTTTTGGTCTCACATTTTCCACTGTCCTGAGGTGGAACAATTACATTGAGTCAACATCTACCGCAAGGAAAGTTGGTTCTCTGTGTCGCGCCAGAAGGTTTTTCTCACCTGTGTCCATCCTTCAAATCTACAAATCTTTTCATAGCAACTTCTCTGACGAGGTATTTTCAGTGATGCCCCAACTGCATGAATGTAAGCGTGCTACAAGGTCGGCATCTCGCTTCCACCCTTTTACTGTCGAAACAGTTAAATGTAACCGCCTCTTCTACTCCAACAGCTTCTCTCGCACTTCCCGACAGTGAAACTCCCTTCCTCTTACTTGCTTCCCTGATAGCTATAATCTTCAACAATTTAAATGTTATGTTAATCGACATCTTCTTGTGCCTTGAACTTGATCCATGTCCTTCTCTTTATTTTTTCTTCAAACACTCTCTTTTCTCTTACTTTCACTCTCTTTAAGCCCTTGCGTGATAGGGGCACTTTCGTCTTGTTTAAGGTTAAATGCTTAATATATCGAGTGTATCAGCAGAATTGTCCAAATCATAAAACAGCGTGGGATAATTGCCCATCCCACGAAATGTTTAATATCTAAAAATCAAACAAACAAACACCCCCCCCAAAAAAAAACACTAAACTAATTGATTTTCTATTGGCCAGTATGTTTTCAGATAAGACGTTTAGCCATCTTGAAACTATTTGTCGTAAGAATCACTGAAAACCCTAGAAAAACTAGAAAGAGAACAGGTTAAAATTGTTTTGTGTCAGCCCCAATATCTCTTCCCAACTGAGCAATGGTGAGAGGAAAAAAGATCATTCAGGCCTTCAGTAATGTTACCAACATTTATACTCTGGCTTTCATCTTCAAAGTCCATTCAAGAACGATCAAGAAAACGATGAATAAGTTTAAAAAAGATGGAACAGTAGAGAGAAAAACTGGATCAAGAGGTCACGACAGTAAAAAGGGTCATCATTTCAAATTAGAGCGAAATATAGTCTTATTGTTCAAAGTGAAATCCAAAGGTGTTATAAAAACCTCGGGGAATTCCAGTAAAATAACTTTAATCATGTCTAAGATACAACGGTTATATATATATATATATATATATATATATATATATATATATATATATATATATATATATATATATATATATATATGTATAAATTTCTCGGACATTCAGGCCGGTAAATGTTATTTAATACTGTTTATTATAAACAGAGCATTTACTTAAATACTTGTATCTATAAAAATAGAACGTTAAACATAAAAATGTCTTTAATAAATAAATTGTCGGACTTTGTCCATTTCTTAATATATGACGTCATTTGTTTACATTTGATACGCCAGTGCAGTTATGAATGTACGAGATTCATGGAAGATTGAAGTTTATAAGCAGTAAATTCGACCTTGTCTAGCGAAAAGGTTCTTTGTGGCCCAGAGGTAAGGCACGTCAGCGTAAATGACGGTTCCGTAATAGGATGCAGGTTCGAATCCTGTCAAAGAACGAATATTTTCTATGAAAATTTCTCGGACATTCAGGCCGGTAAATGTTCTTTAATACTGTTTATCATAAACAGAGCATTTGCTTAAATACTTGTATCTATAAAATAACAACGTTATATATATATATATATGTGTCTGTAAGAAAATATATATTTTAGTGTCTGCTATATTTATGAGTAAAAGGGCTCAATAATAGGGATTGAGTGCATGTAAATATAAAAGTGTACAGGTCAATATCAAGCGGCAAAGTCTGTTTTTGTTTTCAACGTTATATATATTTTTGTCTGAATTTCTGGGATGTGGAGTTACCATTATTTACCCTATTTATATTTGGACTATTGTCCTCATCTTTGTTGTTGTTGCTATAAAGTTTCGACCATTGTGCCCTCCGGCCTTCCTCGGGTGTATATTGATCAATAAGTCTGTTAGCGAAGAGAATTCACCACTAATTGCATTAATATTACTAATTGATTCATTGTTATGATTACCTCTTTTTAACCCCCCACATATATATATATATATAAAAGGAAAACACGTGCTCTTTTTTCTCTCCCTCGATGTCTCTATTTCTCACACTCTTTCTTTTCCTTTCCTCGCACGTACACATATATGCAAATACATGCAAACATACATTGTCACACAGATATATTTATATACATTAGGGCTTCCTCTTGAAATTAATATTAAATCTGCTTCTTAAACTCTGAAATAGAATTTTATATGTTTAATTTGACCTAAGTTTCTAGAGACGAAAAGATTTTTTCTAAACACCTAAACGTATTTGTAAACACAAAAATGACAAAATAACTTAAACATTTATTTTTTTTTGCTGAGTCTGTTGCTATTTTGTTCTGTTATTTGCATTTCGGTTCTCTTCTTTCTTTTGGAACTCTCTTCATTTCTTTTCATTATAATAATCATTTTGTCCAAAAGTCTTTGGTAATTTATGCTTGTCTTTCTCTCTTTATTTTCTTTCTTTCTTTCTTTCTTTCTTTTCACTATTAATAATCATCCTCTCCAGAAGTCCTTGGTAATTCATGTTAAAGTTCATATGTTATAGTCTTCTATATCACTTGAATATTTTTCTTTCTTTCTTTCTTTCTTTCTTTCTTTCTTTCTTTCTTTCTTTCTTTCTTTTCCTTATAATAATCATGCTGTCCAAAAGTCTTTGATAATTCATGCTAATGTTCAGTCTTCTGTATCACTTGAATATCTTTCTTTCTTTCTTTCTTTCTTTCTTTCTTTCTTTCTTTCTTTCTTTTCACTAATAATAATCATTCTGTCCAAAAGTCTTTGGTAATTCATGCTAACCTTCATATGTTATAGTCTTCTGTATCACTTGAATATCTTTCTTTCTTTCTTTCTTTCTTTCTTTCTTTCTTTCTTTTCACTAATAATAATCATTCTGTCCAAAAGTCTTTGGTAATTCATGCTAACCTTCATATGTTATAGTCTTCTGTATCACTTGAATATCTTTCTTTCTTTCTTTCTTTCTTTCTTTCTTTCTTTCTTTCTTTTCACTAATAATAATCATTCTGTCCAAAAGTCTTTGGTAATTCATGCTAACCTTCATATGTCATAGTCTTCTGTATCACTTGAATGTCTTTCTTTCTTTCTTTCTTAATTTCTTTTTCTTTCTTTCGTTCTTTCTTTTCATTATAATAATCATTCTGTCCAAAAGTCTTTGATAATTCTTGCTAACCTTTCTATGTTATAGTATTCTGTATCACTTGAATATCTTTCTTTCTTTCTTTCTAATAATAATAATAATAATAATAATATAATAATAATAATCCTTCTGTCAAAAAGTCTCTGGTAACTTATACTAACTTTCTATGTTTTCTTGGCTTAAGTCTCGGTGTACCAGCAAAATTATTACCAGAATGCAAACAATTTGTTCAAGAATCTGTTAGCAATTCATTTGCAGATTTTAAAAAAAAACCCTACTATATATGATGTTAGAGTTAATTTGCACACTAAAGCAATATCCTGATTACTGCATTAAACTGTCTTAAAAAAGCAGATAAAGACATGAAAGAAACTTTTGATCAAGCTATAGGTATGAAGATGGATCCGTGCTGTTCTAAATGTATCTTTGATGTATCTATATCTGTAAAAGGAATAATATTCAGAAAAAGCAAAGCAAAGTATTAAGAAACAGGAAAATTCAAAATGCCGTAAAATAGCATATTTCACTATTCAATAAACGCCATTCCAACTGTCAGGGTATAGGTATAAGGGATCGATCTGTGATTGATTTAAGAGTGTCTTTACTGTATCTGAGGGAAATTGTTCCTTTAACAGAAATAATGGAGAGGTTTATATATGGTAAAATTATTGAGAAGAAACTATTTCAGTTTGTCAGAAAACCTCACTTTTAGCATCTAACGTGTTCATAACTCAAAGTATATAATAAAATGCACCTCATATATTTTCAAATGATATTCTTTCTTTTTATGTGCCGTGTCCTTTCAGGACGTAGGCGATCATGGCTCTCCACTTCCCCCAATCCCTTGTAGCTCTCAATAAGTTTCGTCCTTCAGCCACCTCCCCCAGTCCACGTTCTGTCATCCGCTAGCTTAAACCCGTTCAAAATGTCAGCTTTGCTTTTCCTTGTCTCTCTTTCCCTCTTTTCGACCTGTGTGTATTAGATTCTCCAGGCCCTCCTTTCTCATTACGTGTCCCAGAAACTTCAGCTACCTCTTCCTGACATTAAGCATAAGCCTGCTATTTGTTTGCATCCTCTCCAAGACCGCATCGTTGCTCAAAAAGCTCGGTCCATGATATCCTCAGCATCCTTCTGTAGAACCATATCTACGTCTCCTCGAGTCTCTTCTTCTTCTTTGAGGTGACCGTCCAAACTATCTATCGTACGAGTGTGTGCTAAAAAGTTCTCGGAATTATCATGAACCCATCTGTAAAAGAATTCAAATCATTGATCACGTCTTTTAGCACACCCTCGTACACACATAGAAGCCAATATAAAAATATATCAGTGCATATACATTTACATAGTCATATATGATGCAATTTCTAAAAAATTAATGTATTGTATTTTATTATCCAGCATATTTTTCTTACTTCAAATGTTATTGTTAGGGGTTACCCATTTATTTGAAACAGTATTTATTTCATCTGCCGGCCTGCCGACTCGAGAAAAGTTACTGATAGATACTCTTATGATTCTTCTTCAATGTGCTTCGTCTTTTAAGATCCTGGGCAATAATGGCTCTTCACGACGTCCTATCCTTCTCTTAGCATCGTTTATCATTTTACTGTCTACAACTCTTTTTTCTGCATTTCTCTGTTACTCTTGTCTCTAACATTCTCATTGATTATTAAATTTTCGAAGAATTCTTCGTTAAATGTCACTAAAATTTCACCTTTTCATTTTGATTTTCTATTCTCAGGACATTTTTGATTTTCTATTCTCAGTAACCTTCTGTCGAATCACATCTGCATTGCCTCAAGTTTTTCCTTCATCCACGAAGAAATTTTTCACTGTTTACTATCGTGTAGGAATATTGATATTTCGTAGTAGATCAATATTCTTTTCTTTGTTTCTAACGAAAATTTCCTGTTTCATTATACTTTGTTTTATCCGTTTGTTAGGAGATACCCGTTTATTTTTTTATCCGACATATTTTTCTTAATTCAGTCGTTATTGTTAGGGATTACCCATTTATTTGAAACAATATTTATCCCATCTATGTGTACTCGAGAAAAATTAATAAAAAAAATGTTCCCTCTGAGAGGATTCGAACATGCATCCCAATTTGAAGGAGGAAAGTCATCTTATCCGGTTTCCTTTGACCATTTGGCTACGAAATAAAAACAATTACTAAAGAATTAAGGATTTCTTTTTTCCGTTTTTTAAGGAAAAAAATATGTTGCACTAAAAAATCCACACACACGCACGCACACACATACACAGATTAACAGCATGAAACTAGGAGTTGTGCAATTAATATAAGATGTTATGTACACTTCTTAATATATATATATATATATATATATATATATATATATATAGATAGATAGATAGATAGATATAGATAGATCAAGATATGTGGTGCAGTTCAATTTACATTACATGTATCATTCATAGATAGATAGATAGATAGATAGATAGATAGATAGATAGATAGATAGATAGGAACAGAATGGGATAGATAGATAGATAGATAGATAGATAGATAGATAGATAGATAGATAGATAGATAGATAGATATCAAGTATGTGGTGCAGTTCAATTTACATTACATGTATCATTCATACAAAAAACAGATATAGAAGTTAATGATTTAAATGTTTTTTACTTAATGCTTTGTACATTTTTCGGATTACATCTATATTTTCGTTGTCCTGTTATTACCGAGAAGTAAAAAACAAAAACAAATCTATTTCCATACCTGATGATGTCTGTATGCACAGATGAAAGCTTGTATAAAAAAAAAAAAAAAACTAAAAAATGACCTTATGCAACTGGAATTTATAAACAGGGATCATAACATTCATCTACAGGTTCTGGGGTTAATGTACTTTATTAAATTTGTTTGCGATGATGTATTCTCGCTATTTATATCATTAATTTCTATATCTGTTTTTTTTGTATGAATGATTCATGTATATATATATATATATATATATATATATATATATATATATATATATATATATATACATATACAAATACCTACGTTTAGATGTGCAAGTTAACTTTCACTGGTTTTCCAGCTCATTGGGCACAGTATTTGTTATGTCTTTATGAAAATATACAGATGACACGTGCGCGGATACGTTTTCTTATATCTGCTCGTTTGATTTATCCAGATCTATCTATCTATCTATCTATCTATCTATCTATCTATCTATCTATCTATCTATGCATATATCCAAATGAGAGAAAGAACAGATGGAGTAAAAATCCACTGTTCGCAGCAGTTACTTTTAAAAAAGTGCTCAATACAAGTAGAGCAATATTTTATTAATATATTATTTTATCTCTTATAATATAATATAATATAATATATATATATATATATATATATATATATATATATATATATATATATATATATAAAAAATATATATATATATATATATATATATATATATATATATATATATATATATATATATATATCTTACCCGCTTTTTATTATCGTAATATAACAAAATATAATTTTCCATAGTTTAATTGAAAGCCTTCGAAATAAACAAAAATGTGTACATTTCTTAAATCCATTAAGTCCAGAAAAGAAAATAGTTGTACGCATAAAATAAAAAACATAATAGACTAAACAAAAATCTAAACTGTTTTATTTAACGAAACCTGTATTATAGAACGATTGCTACTGAAATACACAACTGTAATTGCATTCGTGGGTGTATGTATATACACAAATATCTATTGTGTTTTTTTGTTTGATTCGTTTTCTTTATTTTATCAACACTTTATCGGTTTGGTGGGGAACATAATAATGGTGTAATGACACACGTCTTACTAATTAACCCATAGCTGAAAGGAAAAGAGATGGATACATACCTTTCCAACAGTATTTGCCTGTAAGTGAATGTAACGAACCCGACTGGAATTCGAACTCTGCTCTCCGATCAACAATTCCGAGACATTATTCATTCACCATCCGCACATCAAAGTTGAACCTCTTATTCCCAAGCAGTCACTGGTCTAGGTACTGACCAGGTTCAATATTGTTTAATTTCGGTGATCATACGGGAACCAGTGTTTCAGTGTGATATGGCCGTAAGACGTATACGTATGATGTACATCTAATTACTTTAATTAGTATAAGATATTAATAACATAAGATATTAACATAAGATATTTTATAGATTTTAACAGAAAATGACAAATTTACATTTAAGAACAGACACATATATTTACAGTTTTTATGCACATGTATATTAACATGCAATGTATGTACACTGCATCAGTATACACCGCGCGTACACACAGAGAGAAATATACACACTAGTATACAGATTTATTGAGTAAGCATGTGTTTTTGAGAATGTATAGAATACGTATACACAATAATTCGTCTATATGCACACATATTCACATGTATGTATAAACATACTAGATATTCAACCACATATAGACATGTCTCCGCACAGGTATACATAAATACATGTAAACATATACTCATATTTACAAATTATTCATCTGCACACACACACACACACACACACACACACACACAGACAGACAAACACACACATATATACACGTGTATAGAACATTTATATGAACCTGCATGTGTATGCCGTTCATACGCATTATCCGATATAACCACTGACATACATACGTACACATATGAATTTGTGTTGTCATAGAAAGGCATACCTATAAACTTAAGCAAATCGATATTTATATCAAAGACTGGAATGTGTCCGGGAAATGCAATTGGCAGCGCATAAAAAATGATTTATTTGTTTCTGTTTTTATCAGGAGATATCAGAACATCAATTCAGTCTTAGACACTGAACAAGTGAGGCATTAAGTCAAGCCCCTTAATTTGAAGAATCAGTTACTAGTCAATTGAAAAGGCATTGGATACTATTACGATGGAATTAACGCCCATGGTCGACTCATGTTGGTCTTGACAAAAAGATCACAGACACGAATGAGTGGAAACTGTTCCAATTCCTATGATTTCAGTATCATCCTAATACACAGACTCTTAAGAAGGTTATTGTTTGTTGATAAATATGTATGCATTCATGCGTATACGAGTGTATGTATGAATATTACCGTACTTACGCGCACACAAACACAGAGACAAATATATTTACGTGTACAATGAAGTGCTACAAAACGTTAGTGAAATATTGTTTTGCAAAAACGTACTAGCAATGTAGAAAAATGAGCTAATCACCGGGTGGAATAAAAAGGCATGCAAACATATATAAAAAATAAACCTAATGACAAAAAATCTGTCTGATATTTGCCAAAGGTTTTAAATTTTATCCAGTTTAAAGAGCCATGTCAATTCAAAGCACAACTAAATCTTACAATGATCTCTTCTGATGGCCATACTCTACAATGAATCGGCAGTTATCATGAATAAAGACAAAAGGGAAACTTATCTTAGCCGATGTGTTTTGTACTCTGATGGACTTTGTCAAGGCAATTGTCATGAAAGACCATCGAGTTCAAAACGATAAGTCTTCCTTTTGTCTTTATTTATATTGCCATTTTACAGGAAAGTTTTTTACTTACATCTGAAATATCACACACAGACACACACACATACATACATGTGTGTGTGTGTGTACCGGGAGTAACAACAAAATTGTCCAAATCGTGTGACCACATATTCATCCGTCCCACAAAATGTTTAATATGCAAAAAAAACACTAAACTAATTGAATTTCTTTTTTGTTTTTTCCAGGTTTTCTTATAAGACATTTAACCATTTTGACCCCATTTGTCATAAGAATTAGTGAATAACCCTTTGAGATATTCAGCTAAAAAGAGAACAGGTTAAAATCGTTTTGTGCCAGTGTTATATACCGTACCTATGAACACTAATGGGTATGTCCTAATCCTCATAAATACGTTGAACAGTAAGTGGGGGTAATATGCCGTCTAAGTAGTCCACCACTAGCAGTGGATTACCTACTTCACGCCGCTGGCGAGTATTGTATTTTGTTGATGTTATAAAGATTACCATTTCATTTCCAGTCTCCGTTTTGACTATTCCTCATTCAGTAACCTTTTCTAGGTTACAACAGTCAGCACGACTGTCTTCCCAAATGAGCCTTGGTGAGAGGAAAAAGGCTTTCAGTAATGTTAACAACATTCATACTCTGTCTTCCATCATCAAAGTCCATTCAAAAACCATCAAGAGAATGATGAATAAGTTTAAAAAAAGAGAACAGTAGAGAGGAAAACTAAATCAGAAATAAGTGTTTTAAAACTTGTCTTATCTTTTTATCATTCCACTTGATTTGTAATTTCAAATTTAATTAATGTTGTACTCTAACAATATAATTAAATGGTTGTTTTACTATAGGGCAAATTGTCTTTGATGTCTTATGAAATCATAATAATTAGTACAGGAAAGAACAAGAAAATAATAAAAGTTAGTATTAAAAGTATATAGTGGTGACGAATAATTTTTGACTTAAACAAGAAAGAAGTTAAAAAGATTTTAATTGGTTCATCATTTAGATTTTGTGAGGTGGTTCATGCTGAGAAATTCTTCAGCACTGATGATGATGATTATGATGATGATGATGGTTGTGGTGGTGGTAGTGATGGTGATGGTGATAATGATGGTGGTGATAATGATGATAATGATAATGGTAGTGATTGCAGTATGGGTAGGGATGGGGGTGGTGATGATGATGGTGTGGCTGTGGTGGTGGTAGCAGTTGTGGTTCTAGTGGTGGTGGTGATGATATATAGTGGTGGTGATGATGATGATGATGATGGTGTGGTTGTGGTGGTGGTGTGGTTGTGGTGGTGGTGTGGTTGTGGTGGTGGTGTGGTTGTGGTAGCAGTTGTGGTTTTAGTGGTGGTGTTGATGATATATAGTGGTGGCGGTGATGATATATAGTGGTGGTGGTGATGATGATGATGATGGTGTGGTTGTGGTGGTGCTGTGGTTGTGGTAGTAGTTGTGGTTCTAGTGGTGGTGTTGATGATATATAGTGGTGGCGATGATGATGATGATGATGATGATGATGATGATGATGATGATGATGATTGTGGTAGTGGTGTTGGTGATGATGCATTGCAGAAATTTTAATCCATAATGATGATGATGATGATGATGATGATGATGATGATGATGACAGCAGGGTATATGGTGAAATTAAAGTAAGTATGAAAATGACAGGAGACACAAAACACAGAGGAATAATAATAAAAGTAAAATGAAGAATAAAGACAAAAGAATAAATGGAATGGTTTCCCATTATAATAATTCCACTGAAGAAAAAGAAACTAATTTAGCCCTTCTTAATTAGTTAGTAATAAACTTAAAGACATCATATCTGGGGTGGAAAGCGTTGCTATGTAATAACTCTATTTAGTATCTAATTACCAGCTTCTCTGAATGGAAAATTTTTCTAAGCTTCCCTGTGTAAATCAGTAAGGGGCACTTATATGGCATTCAGTTTAACTTTGAATATACATTTCGGAAATGGTATGCTAGAATTCCCTGGCGCCATCATCTACAATAGCTTAAAGAATCTTATAAATATGTTTGCTAATTTCTGTTTAGAAAAAATGTTTATATTGGCTTCACTTATATGCATGCTGACAGGTTGCTTTAAGAGTTTTTCCTATGATTATTTAAAAAAGTTTATGTAAAATTGAATTTTCAGTTAAAAAATTAATGGGTGAAATTATTATATTTCTAAAGAAATGAAATTTTATTATACATTGATAAATAGGTAAATAAAAACTGAATTGAAATTAGTAAGATCTACTTGCGCAAATTAAATTTTGAAATAAAAAAAAATTAAGGCAGCTAACATAAATTGGACTGAACAATCTAAGATTTGGTTGGAAAAAAAGCCATTTTACTGATGATGCTTTTTGTTTGGAAAAACATGAAAGTATTAATTTTCCAATATGTTTTACTTATTTACCATTCAATATGATTCTCATCCAAATTTAATGATTTACTATAACAATAATTAGAGGGTTGTTTTACTATAGAGCCATAGACAACAAGGTATATTTACAGGCCATTACTTCTGTAATGAGAGTGATCCTCACTGTGCTCTTCTCTTTTATTCATATAGTAATATTAAAATAATATTTATGATAATATTTATAATATATTATAATAATGTTTATAATAATACTATAATGATATTATAATTATATTTATAACAATATTATATTATAATAATATTTATAATAATATTATAATAATATTTATAATATTATAATAATATTATAATGATATTTGTAATAATATTATAATATTTATAATAACATTAGAATAATATATATATAATAATATAGTTATATTTATAATGATATTATATTATAATAATATTTGTAATAATATTGTGATAATATTTATAATAATATAATGATATTATAATATGATAATAATATTTATAATAATATTATAATAATATTTATAGTAATATATTATAATACTATTTATAATAATATTATAATAATATTTATAATAATATTTATAATTATATAATAATATAATAATATTATTTATAATATGTATAATAATATTATAATAATATATATAATAATATTATTATAAATTAATTGATTTAAAATATGTTTTTTTTCGCTACACAGTTCCAACTATGTTTCAAAAATAGAAGCTAAAAACCCCGAATTTAATTTTGCAATTAAATTAAAAGCATTAGTTCCATTTCATCTTCAAGCGAATTTTGGAGTAACTTTTAAAAATAACCGGGTTTTAAAGACACAGCTAAAATCACGTTTCCATGGTTACAGAATATTCTACTTAAATTGAACAAGGGATGTCTAGATTTTCCTTATGTCAGTATCATTGTATCAGTTATTAGCTACAATTTGGTAAGGGGTAGGGATGTATTTTACAATGAAACCTGACATCAGTTGAATGGATGTCGTCTGAATTTTTTTTTGTAGTAAGTTCCATTAATATTACTTAAATAATATTTAAATATAAAAGTTTAAAAATTGTAATTTACGTATACTTGGATATTGAAAAATAATTTTACTTACTATGAGTAATTTTCCTTCTGTTATAAAGTAATATAGTCTATTAAAACT